GTATGTATGTATTAGAGTTGTATGTATGTATTAGAGTTGTATGTATGTATGTATTAGAGTTGTATGTATGTATGTATTAGAGTTGTATGTATGTATTAGAGTTGTATGTATGTATTAGAGTTGTATGTATGTATGTATTAGAGTTGTATGTATGTATTAGAGTTGTATGTATGTATTATGTATGTATGTATTAGAGTTGTATTATGTATGTATTAGATGTATGTATGTATGTATGTATTATGTATGTATGTATGTATGTATGTATTAGAGTTGTATGTATGTATGTATTAGAGTTGTATGTAGATGTATGTATGTATTAGATGTATGTATGTATGTATTAGAGTTGTATGTATGTATTAGAGTTGTATGTATGTATGTATTAGAGTTGTATGTATGTATGTATTAGAGTTGTATGTATGTATGTATTAGAGTTGTATGTATGTATTAGAGTTGTATGTATGTATGTATTAGAGTTGTATGTATGTATGTATTATGTATGTATGTATGTATGTATGTATGTATGTATTAGAGTTGTAGTATGTATGTATTAGTTGTATGTATGTATTAGAGTTGTATGTATGTATGTATTAGAGTTGTATGTATGTATTAGAGTTGTATGTATGTATTAGAGTTGTATGTATGTATTAGAGTTGTATGTATGTATTAGAGCTGGTCCGCTGGCAAATAGGCTATAGAGACATTGTTACTGTTTTATATTCAGTTTGTTCTGGATTCAGTGTTTAAGCAAAACTGTTATTAAACATTTATTTTAAGAAAAGGTTTAACATTACAGATCTCTAAAGAGAAAACATGCTGATGTTGTTGACATTTTTCAATAAATATTTAGTTTGGCCCACGACTTAGTCCCACTTTTTAATTTTGGCCTCTGTGAATTTGAGTTTGACTCTCCTGGTTTAAGGAGACAATAAAGTATCTACCTGTCTTTTCTTTCTTTCTTTCTTTCTTATTCCAGTCATGTAGCCAGCAGAGGGCAGCATTGAGCTGCTAATGCTTCACCCACGAGCTTCCAATAATACACATTATACACAGTAAACTTTCAGTACTACTACTATTGCCACTACTACTGCCACTACTTCTACTATTACTGCTACTACTACTACCACCACTACTCCTTCTACTACTACTAAAACTACTTCTACTACTACTACTACTAAAACCACCACCACTACTACTGCTACTACTTCTACTACTACTTCTACTACTACTACTACTACTACTACTACCACCACTACTACTTCTACTACTACTACTACTTCTACTACTACTACTACTACTACTACTACTACTACTACTACTACTACTACTACTACTACTTCTACTACTACTACTACTACTACCACCACTACTACTTCTACTACTACTACTACTACTACTTCTACTACTACTTCTACTACTTCTACTATTACTGCTACTACTACTACCACCACTACTCCTTCTACTACTACTAAAACTACTTCTACTACTACTACTACTACTACTACTACTACCACCACTACTACTACTACTACTACTACTACTACTACTACTACTACTACTACTACATCTACTACTACTACTACTTCTACTACTTCTACTACTACTACTACTAATCTACTATCCAACTATGTGCCTCTAGGAAAAAAAAAATTAAAAAACTACTTCCAGAGGTGGATAGTTCTTTTGTAAATTTACTTGAGTAACTTTTTAACTGTAACTGTATCTTTGCAATTTCCACAAATATGCAGAATTTAATGATTTCCTAGTACTGCTTTGTACTCCATGCATGAATACATATTTTGAGCAGGAAGCAGAGGTTACTTTTTTTAGGTAACAGTTCTCTTGAGTAAAAGTTATGATTATTCTTCTTACAAGTGACAAAAGCTTTTTGTGATGATATGAAATAATTTGAACATTCGTTTTTGTGTCTGTCCTTTGAAAATACCAAAATACCAGATTCTGTGAATTATTTAATGTTTGTCCTTCAAAATACTTTAACTTGAAATTTTTAATCAGATCAGATGTTTCAGTTACTCTTTAAGTTACTCTTAATTGAGTAGTAGTTTTCTCAAATACTAGTACTAATAGTAACATTACTTGGTAAGTAATATTACTCTCACAAAAGTAATTTTTTTTGGCTACTCTACCCACCTCTATCACCTGCCTATCGCAGACAGAGCTGCAGCAGACAGAGCTGCAGCAGACAGAGCTGCAGCAGACAGAGCTGCAGCAGACAGAGCTGCAGCAGACAGAGCTGCAGCAGACAGAGCTGCAGCAGACAGAGCTGCAGCAGACATGGCAGACTGCCTGGTGACACTTTGACAGCTGTAATTGCTTGTGTCTGTCTGTACAGTACAGACGAAACCTGAGCCACCTCTTTGTTCAATAATGATAAATCTCTGTCTGCTCCACACAATGAAGCAGGAGACTTGGGCAGACAGGACTGTTCTCGTTGCTATCAGGGGGAGTTATCATCTTCTCAGGGCTAAAAGTGAGAGAATGAGAAGCTTCTACTCCAAGTAAGGCCATAAAGACTGTTAAACCAGGAGTGAACTCTCTCCTCCTCTATGTATTTAACATATTACTCTCTGTGTTTATGTTGCTGGATGGTACATAAGGCTATCACTGCATACTGTACTGTGTGTATTTGTTATGTGACAAATAAAGTAAAGTAACTAACAAAAGCCAGTATCATCTCACAGGTCCATGGCTGGCTCCTTCACTAGCCTCGTGCACGGTCTCCATGGATGCCAGTGAAGGTCTTCTGACACATTTGTTGTTACATATGGTGTAAAAAGCTTCAAATGTCCATAGCAAACTCATTAGCTGGTCTCTGACACGATCTCCATGGAAACGAGAAAAACTAACTTTTCAGTCACACAATCCAACAGTCCCTTATTTGTGTCTTTTGAACTGTACATGCAGCACTTCTTAGTTGGTTAAAATCCCTCCTACTACTACTACTACTACTATTACTACTACTTCATCTTTTACCACTTCTACATACTACATCTACTTCTATAGTTACAAACCGAGTCAACCAGTTGTACTTTTTACGGGCATCTGTTGTGGATGTCTCCTGTGTGAGACTGTGTCTCTGGGCTGGACTTGGAACATCTCGGTGTCTCCCCAGAGGAACTGGAGGAAGTGTCCAGGGTGAAGGAAGTCTAGACTGTTGCCCCTGCAACTCGGCCCGGGATAATCGGAAGAAAATGGACGGATGGATAGTTTCTACCATAACAAAGTACAATGATATAAATAAGTCTTACTACGAGCTGTACTGCTTTGAAAAGCACCATTGATGAGAATAGACACAGGACACACAGGTTCACCACAAGATATATATTTATTTATGAACCAACCATAACAAACAAAAATAAAGCATTGACAAAACACATTTTCAAGGCGGCAAATTGAAAGAATAGAGTTTATACAAATGTCTAATTCAGAAAAGTGAAGCACGAATCACAACTACGGCAAGTACAATGGACAAACACAAGAGCTACACACAGACGTGCTTAGACATGTTCCCTACAGGGTGAGTACAGGGCACTGGCTCCTCAGAGCAGTGGTCTCAGAGGGTAGATGCTACTCTTTCTGAAACATACACCAGTTTTCAGCATTGTCGAACCAGCTGTGAGTGTACACTGTAAAAATAGCACCACTGGGCTAATACTAACATGAGGCTTCACTGTAAAAACATGCTCATGTGATGCACCTGCAGAAGAGGAAGCTCCGGAGGGACCAGGAAACCTCCACAAAGGCTCTTCTCCCCGTGTGTCAAAATGCACTGTGCTGCAGACATCTGTCAGATCACAGTCACAATAAAAACTATGTACACAAACAAGGGCGTCAGTCTGGAGACAAATATATTTACATTTGGTACAATTATCATTATGTCATAATTCCCTTTGTAAAAACTGTGCTTAGTTTCACTGCCACATCCAGGCAGATACAAAAATACAAGTTCAAAGTCTCCATGAGCGCAGCATTTTGTTCAATCAACGACATACACCATAAGACCAGCACACAGAAGACAGACCCCATCCACCAGAGGATACGTCCAGCACACAGGACTGGACCTATTGAGAATGCCTGGGTCTGGACTGGACCTCCTGAGAACATCTGGGTCTGTCCTGAGGCTCACATGTGAGGGACTAATTGTGTCTGTGCTGGTGCTGAATAAAGGGATCTGAGAAAGATCGATTTATCTAATAATGATCTGAGATAATACTGGTGCTGTACTGGCAGGAAGTCTGACATGTACCAGAGCTGAGCTCACCTGTCTGACAGGAGGACAGGAGCTCTGTTGTGCTGTGACATACTAGTACACTGCACTGGAGTCAGTCAAGAGATGATGCTGGTTTAAAAACACACACATGACTATGGCATTTTCACTCATAATCTAATGTAGACCCATCCAGTTTAACAGAACAGAGTTACCTCAACACAACAAAGTTACCTCAACACAAGTTATTACGATAAATGTAGATGCTGTAGATGAACCAGTGCTGTGGTCTGCTGGTGCGTGTGAGGACACACTGTACATGACGACTGATACACTCTTTGAATGCCCAAGACAGTTTAGAGAAATGAATACAACAGGAAGCTGGTGTACAAAAGGCAAAGGCAAAGTCCTATGTTTGAGTATGAGTTATGTCAGGGACAGAGAGGACAGAGGGGGACAGAGAAGACAGACGGGGACAGATGGGACAGAAGGGGACAGATGGGACAGAGGGGGCAGAGAGGTGACAGAGAGAGGACAGAGGGGGCCAGAGAGGACAGAGAGGTGACAGAGGGGACAAAGAGACAGAGGGGACTGAGGGGACGGGTGAGACGTCTGCTGGTGAAAGGACAACAGTTTGTCCAAGAGTCAAAGTGCTGAGGACACATCAGGACTGGCTCAAGTGTGTGGAGGGACAGCAGGTTCCCTAGGACACACTGGAGCACCGGATACTGGGGGAGCCCATCTGAGTGAGCACTTTGTCCAGCCACTGCAGAGGCCCGTTCAGGTGCAGCTCGATCCAGCAGGGGGTGCTAGTCACTGTCTGCCGCCTGGGGACCAAACACAAAATGCATTCAAATATGAACTGTGTAAGTATTGGTTATTACATTTGTTTCATACGACTACTTTTCTGATCTACGTTATAATGTTTTCTCATCACAAACATATCTGAAGCTGTGTTTTGTTTAACACGCAAACCCTGAATATTTAGGCTGAGTTCTTCTCTCAAGCTGGAAACACTGTGTTCCAACTTGTGATGTCATGTAGTAACAAAGAAAGTTCTCCATTTTAAACTTCACCAGAACATTTGAATAATTTCAGACCTGGATTTGCCAGTCTCTGCTGAACAAAGGGTAAAAGGTAGGTGTTAATTTGAAAAAATTAAAATGACATCACAAGGTGGAACAGCGCCTTCTGAGTTTTGGAGATGTAGACAGACTAATGATAAAAAGCTCCTCAAACATGTCTGAATGAAACAAAACACAACTCCAGGTCTGTTTTTGGTGAAGTAGCAACATTATAAAATGGCTTAAAACTCACAAGAGTCAGTATTGTGTATTGTTGACCTTATTTCACCATGCCCACTTCGGCTGTAAATGTGAATACTATAAACAGCAAATACATGTGAATAAACAGCTCTTTCTTTGTTGTGCTTTGTTTGTTTCTTTGTTTGCAGTTCCCTTTTAAGTGAGAATCCCATTTATTTCAATTGAGAATTTGCTTACATATGAAATAAATGAGGTTTATTTCTGTAAAATGTTCACGTGTCCAACAAGTCAACACTGCACTCATTCTATGGAAACAGCTTTGTGGTCCAGATAGAATTTATTTACTGTGGAGATGAGCAGCTCAATAAGAACAACCCCGATGACGCTGGCAGTGCCCACTTCTGCAGTAAGGTGAATAGGACCTTTAACTTAACTTACAGCAGAACAAGTGAAGGTTAAGAGGAGTATGCACGACAATCCACATGCCAAATGGTTTGGGTTAATGTGCACTTTAACCCTGACCCAATCCTACACAAGTGCTTTTCACCTCTACAGAGCAGAGCGACTGCAATGCTGACAACCAAGAAGTGGTCAGTCTGCTGCATTTACATCACCGGGCAAGTATATGTATGTATGTATGGAGAACTTCCTGTATTACTACATCACAAGATGGAACAGAGTGTTTTTCATTTGAGAAGAGCCTAAATATGCAGGGTCTGCGTGAATGTATGTGTGAATGTAACTGAAGACAACTCCAGGTCTGTTTTTGAAGAGGAAACGATATCATAATATGGATCTGAATAAAGTGTCATATGGGCCCTTTAAGCCATTGCTCCCAGGCTCCTTTTGCTGCTATTTGGTCTCTTTTCCACCATTTGAAAACTTCCACATTTCCTAGAAGTCTAACACATGTGTCTATTTTCCAGTGCACTCCGGAGGACACACATAGAGGGAGAGTGTGGGGGAGAGTCCTTGACAGTAACCCGAATCCTTCTAAGTACTTCCACATGTGCTGCTGGCCTCGCTCCGGGCCCACACCCCCCACCCTTTACTATTAGTGAGCCAAAGCCACAGAGCGGAAGAGCAGGCGGGATGGCTGAGGGACAGTTTGTTTAGAAATACTCCATAGGTTGTGGTGATGATGGTGCTCAGCTGATGTGGGTGGGGTCAGAGGGGAGAAGGAAAGAATGAGCGGGGCTTAAGGGGCGTGGCCTGTGAGGGAGAGTGGCGGCTGAGAGTGAGAGCGAGAGTGAGGTGAGCAAGAGAGCTGAACGTGTAAGGAACAGTCAGATTGGTCCAACAGGCATCCACACTTCAAACTCTGCCCCTTTAGCCAGATGTTTGTCATCAGAAACACATGGCTGTAATCAGAGCAGTGCTGTGTGATGTCACCAACTACTGGAAATTGCAGAGGCCACTGAAAGCGGCACACCTTTAGCTTGTTTGCACTCAATTCGACAAAAGATAACAAGAAACAGTAGATAGTGTGGCTGGAGCTAAAGGGGCGGGGTCTGAGGGGAGAGTGTGTGGGGCCTGAGAAGAGTGAGCTTGTGTGCGTGGGTAAGTGGGAGGGGCTAAAGAGGGCGAGGGGAGGAAGTGCGTGGGCGGGGCTGTGGGCTCTGAGTCACTCTCTGTTTGTGTCTATGGTCTGTGTTTACACAGGCAGGGATGGCTTAAGACAAGAACTGCACAACTGGCTGCACTTCTGACACTGCCACTGTCTTTATTTAGGTCATATAATGTCTACTGCAGAGAACTCACGTATTCTATATAAAACCTGCAAACCCTGTAGTTTAGACGCCTCAAATACATGTGGTTTGTGTAGTTTTTCAGCAGCGGATGACAAATTGAGAGCTTGTTTGTTATATAGGAGTCTGTGTAATAGTTCTAAACTCAGAACACAGGAAAAACACAACGCCTTAAGCCAGTGTTTCCCAAAGACTGGGTTGCGACCATCAAGTGGGTCGCAAGAGATTTTTTTGGGGCCTTGTCACACTCTGCATGTAGCTGTGCAATATACAGTTGTATACATGGATCTGTGACCTTATCGTCATTCTGGATGAGCATTTCATCAGAATCTCCTGTCCTCAGTAGGGCCAGTATTTCTCTACGTATTCCTTTCACTACTACATATATGTGTGAAGTGGGATTTTCTGTGCTCACAAAAATGAAGACAAAGCTCAGAAACAGACTAAATGTTACACCTGATCTGTTGCTGCGCTCTTCTCCTGCACCCAGACTGAACACACTACAAAAACAAGACAGGCCCTCCTATCTGTCTTTTTAGTAATTATTGTATTTGTTCCAATATTGCTGGTTCAACTGAATGTTAAACAGAAAGAGAAATGTTCTACATTTAATGTCCACATAGACGACTTATGAATCCTTATATTGCTGCTTCAGTGACTGTTTTTCTTTGTTTAAAACTTGAGTAATACGAATTGTTCAGAGACACAATCACTCAGTGAACAATGAAGTATCTTCAATAATGTTCAATAATGATCAAATCCAACTTTATTTTGTGATTTACGAATAATGTCTATTGACTTGGATCATGAAAGTTTGTGACTTTTAAAATATGGGTCCCCAGAAAAAAAGTTTGGTAAACACTGCCTTAAGCTGCCTAATATAAGACTAGTTTTATCTCAGCTGTGAAGATAGTCCTAATGTTTACTCATTTATAATGAAACCGTTTTTAAATGTCCCATATAATGTGGAACTGACTGTTGTGAGCTTTTAGTCATACAGATTCTGTAATACAAATAAAACATGAGTAATCCTTTATTAATAGTCTATCTACATCTCCAAAGCTCCAAATGTTTCACCTTGTGATGAATGTCATGAAGCAGTAGTTTTAAGGTTAACAGCAATTTTTTGTTATTTTCTTGTTTTGCTCTTCAGTACTTTAGAATAACCTTCACTTGTTGCTTTTGTTTTTTGAATGTTTTTGTTTCCTTTTGTCAAGGGTTAGGCCCAGGGCTATAGGGTGGGGACTATGGTTATGGTTATGGTTATGGTTATGGTTAAGGCTAGGATTAGGGTTGTGTGTTGTGGCTAGGGGTGTGTGTAGTAATTTCTGACCTGTACTCGGCTCCCCAGCCCTTGACGAAGCTCATGCGGATGGTGCACATTCGGGTGAGCTGGTACACGGCCTCAAAGCCCTGGTTCACCGACTGAGCCAACAGGGCGGCAAACTCCTGGTTATTAAAGATCTTCAGGTTACAACCTGGAGGACACAAACTCCTGGTTATTAAAGATCTTCAGGTTACAGCCTGGAGGACACAAACTCCTGGTTATTAAAGATCTTCAGGTTACAGCCTGGAGGATACAAACTCCTGATATGAGGCAGTTACCATCAACAAAATCCACTTCAAATGCTTTGTTTGAAATCTGCATCAGTGAATATCTGCATCATGACTAAAATACCAAACATAAAAAATGTACATTGTATTTGCTACATAAAGCTATGTAAACTGACAATTAAAAATAAGAAATTTTCAGTGCATCTTTCTCTTTCACAGTGAACAGTGGCTGTGTGGCTGGTGAGCTGTTCCGTACCAGGTGCCGCTGGCCTCTCTAAATTCCTTTAATATGGTGAGACTGGCAGGACTGTGGGCACTGACCTGGGGGTATTTTGCAGACCGTGGCTGGGTGCCAGCCGTAGCGCTGGTTGCAGTTTGGGCTTTGAACAAAGATGGCGCTGTCACTGAGGCACTCTGCGAACACTTCTCCTCCGATGTAGTAGAGCCGGACCCCTCGGCCTGTACACAGCACACCACAGGACATATATGGTCATCAGGAAGTGTGTAGCACATAGGGCAGATAAATGAACATTCAGGAAGTATGTAGCACACACACACTCTTCAAATAGTGAGCGTAACATGAACAATGCCTGAGATTCATATAGTGCCAAGACAAAACTTGTCATTCATCATTCATGCATCATTCATTCACACCACACTTGTTTTCTACTTTTGTATCTCTCTGATATTCTCAGTTGTCTCCCATCCAAGTACTAACCAAATGTACTGTAGCATGATAAAATATTAATATATGAATATAAACTAAACAAGGAAAGAAGACACTGGACATACCCAAAACTGAAAATCCACAAATGTGCTGCTGTCACAAATGTGCAATAATAAGTGTGTGCGTATTGTGCCATGTTTAATAATACAGTTATCTTGAGCCTGAAGTACAGTGGACACTTGTGTTGTGTTGTGTGTTGTCCAGTACCGATGTGTCTGCGTGTGAGCTCCACGGCGGCGTTGCGGTTGACGTTGGACAATAGCCCCAGACAGAAGCGCTCGGAGTTGGAGGGGTCAGTGAAGCCATCCACGGTGAGGGAAGGCTGGGAGGCGTGGAAGGTCTCACCCACGCGCTGGTTCAGCTCATAGTACGAGATGGAGCACCAGAAGGCCGGCTCGCAGTACGTCACCGGCTGGAGGTCTGAAAAACACACAATTTTACTCTTCACGTTTAAAGGTCCTATAGTACGGACAACTGACTCTTGTGAGCTTTAAGCCATGTTAGAATTCTTATCAAACACATGGAGTTGTGTTTTCTTTCATTCACATGTTTGACTGAACCCTTTATTTTTAGTCTGTCTTCATCTTCAAAGTTCAGAATGCTTTGCAGAGCTGAAATGATCCAAATGATTCTAGTGAAGGTGTATGGAGTTTAAAAGCTAAGGGGTGCACTTCCTGTACTATCACATGACATCACAAGGAGAGTTTGATGTTTGAGAGAAAAACTCAGCCTAAATGTGCAGGGTTTGTGTGTTAAATTTGTGTAAATGAAACAAAACACAAGTCCAGGTCTGTTTTTTAAGGAAACAATATTAATACATTTAATATTGTAAAAAACACAAACACACAAATCTAGACTTCTCATATTGCACTTTCGCTCTAGAGCTTGTGTTGTCTCATCTCCACTAACAGCAGTTGATTACATATTTGACTAATAATAGTTGTAGTAATAATAGTAAGATGTACTACTGGCACTGGACTGGCCTTCACTCAAATGTATTCTGACACTACAGTGCGTTATATAAGTCACCAGCAGCGCTCCAGCGTGTCAAGGACTGATCCGGGGCATTTTGTTTTGTTTCATTTAGTTTTTTTGTCAGCTCATATCCCCCACTTTGGCCTTAGCATGTCTCTCTTCTCACACCAATAGTTCATGACAAATCTGTTCTGACTCGATTGTATAACTAGTGCTTATTCTTCCAGTAACCACGACAGCATTGTTTAAAGTATTTTACTTCTATGGGACTAACACATAACACATGAAATATCACCATGTCACCTTTTATTGTTTGGAAAATGTGATATTCATCGAAAACAACCTAACAACATGGGAGTAAGAAGGGAGCGGGGGTGATGTAGGATTGTGGGCACAGTTTTGCACCATAGACTACAAAAAAGTGGACTAAGCGAGCATGACGTCAACCACAGCGTTCAGCTCCACTCAAATGAATTTTCGCGATGTTACAGGAACTATTTTGGACTCAGGCTCAACATTATAAATAGGACTTTTTTGATGAACAAAATTGTGAAAAAATTTAACAAAAAATAATAATAATACTAATAATAAGTAAAATAAAATAGGATCATGTAGAGCGGATTAATGCAAACCAAAATGGCCCACATGAGCAGTTACAGAGAGAGGGACGACAGTATCTCAATGGAAGTCACTGGGAGCCATGGAGATCAGAAAAGGCAAGCCAGGTATAATGCGAGTTAAGAGAATAGTGTATTTATAAACTATAGAACACTAAAGACTCTAATACATAATGCTGATGCAGCAGACATCACTTCTCACAGCTAAGCGCTTTAAGATAGTTTGAGAGAGAGGACGAGCAGAATCCTCCAAGTGTATGTAGAAGATCAACTTAGGCATGCTGTGAGTCTATCATTCGAGAAACTAGGTAGCAATTGCGCCCGATCACTGACTCCTCTATAAACCTCTCCCGTACTTTGGAACGTGTTGCTACATGAGGCGTGAGCATGGTTGAGCCATTCATCCCCTCCTATCGTTTTACACAAGTTCCAGGCCAAATCTACACGATCGCTGTAATAATGCTTGTAAAAATCTGCAACATCTAACAACAGGAATTTATTCCTACAAGGATGGATCTCACGAGGAAGTGAATTACATGCCAATTCATTCATACCTATCTATGCAGGACAAAAACAACTCTACAACTCCTCTTAGTAAAGTCACCATCCATCCATAGAGACATGACTTGAGTGATTTTGTGTTTTCGTAGAGCCCGATAAAGTCCCATATACGCGCTGATCGATCAGTTCTCTCAGCGCTGGTATGATACAACGTGTCGAGTGATGTTAAGAGTCATAACACTTCTTAAGTTCCCATGCATCTTCAGCCTTAGTGAAAACAATTGGCTTAAGTGCACAGCATCTGATATGAGAGAGGAGTTATATTCATGACAGAGTATTCATTGGCGCGCGGTGACTGACATCGGTCGCACCAGTCTGTAACGATAGTGTACACCACACAAGCAGCGAGTTGCATCTTGTCTCCCGCCTTAATTCCTATTAATTACTGCAACCTCACACCAGCCCTGCAGCCTTCACAGCTCCATGGTTACGAGTGGACCCGTATACAGACTGCGCGAGATATATGTTTGTGAAAGTATTATATCTTGCGGAATGACCTAGAAGTCCTTGCGACATTCAAGTGGACCCACTTTCAGGGAGGATCCGAGTCTCCGTGTTCTCTTGGAATTCATTTGAGAGGTAGCTGTCACACAGTCTAAAACATTGTATACAAATATGCGACTACTCCGATAACTCTTCCCACTACTTTCGCCTCCCCCTTCTCTCACCAATCTCTGCTCTCTCCTACGTCTCACAACTCCTCTCTTATACATATCTCTACCTCCCAACCACGCATCTACTATCTACTCTTGCACCTACTCCCAACACACTTCATCCACCATTCTACCCTTCCTCTCACATAAAATACTATCAAGATACTCCATCACATACTTATAAATGTGTTCCACTTCCAACTCTACATTACCCATCTACATACATATACAGTTCTGCTAACACATCTGCCTACTCTATGCTTCGATTTCTCTCAGTGTTCCTGCGTACCACTTCCTCATTCACATACTCTCGCCCCCCTCCTCCGATACTTCCCTTATACTCTCTACCTGTACCATTCATATAACTCGATACAATCACCACTTTTCATCTGCGTCTTCTCTCGAGTGCGCAACATACTCTCGCGTACACAGTCGCCCTGCCCTCCCATCGTTCTTCTTCACTACTTCTCCTTACTCTCCATAGCTCACATCCTTACCCTACTCTCTATCTCTCCGTCTGCGTCCTGCCATCTCCCTACCTTTTACGATGCGCCTCCATACGTTGCTCCGCATTCTCCTTTACTATGATGCGCTAGCGCATATAGGTGTAAAAGTGACCTATTTCGTCGATCGATTGTTCCCTTTAGCTCAGCGTGCCTATGTCAACAGAACGATTATAAAAAACCTTCTGTTTGAGCCAGAGTTGCTGAATTCCAGTAATAGAACTGCACCACCTCGTGGGTAGAGGCACTGGGCCCCTGACTCTCTATTCTTAGCCTAAAATTCAACCTCCACAGTCACACATGCTTGGACTAATAGAGAAGGGGACTGGGAGAACCAAGCCATTCAAAAGAAGAAAAAGAAGAGAGTGAATACAGAGGAGTTAATTAACATATTTCTACACCACTACACCTTATCCACTCACAAATATACTCATGTATCTCCGCTCCATCTTCATTATTCTCCCATTCTATACATCCCGTTGCGTCCCGTCTGACTCACCACCCGCTCTACACTGCGTATCGCGTTCCTCTTCTCTCGTTACACCATTTCATTCGAGACACTTCGACTCTAGTCTGTTGATCTCTCTGATAACACATACTCCCCCTCCCTCTCTTACTAAGTTCCCTAATACTTGCCCTCCTTCTTACTCTCCTATCTCCATATTACATCCCTCTGAGCTTAGTGATCGCCTCCTATCAGCTCTACTCTTCCCATCTCTATTGGGTCCCTCTCCTCTCTCCTCATCTCTATAAATCCTTCCTCCAGACCTATTCTATCTACCCAAACCAAATTCTGATCAGACCTAGTCTACATATTCGATAACTCACTTTCTTTCCCCTTCACAACCTACCACCTTACTTTCAATATCAGAGTACCACTTCTTTAGCGTTTCGCTACCTCTCTGGTTAACAAGCTACTCGACCTCTTACATTCCTCTCGCAATCACAATCTCCTCTCTCCTTATCCTTTATTCTCCTACCTGTCTCATCGTTCAATAGTTCCAGTCCCCTTCCTTTCTCCTACCCTCTCTTCCTCTACTCTCTGCAAAAGATTGGATACTCCTTAGCTCTACCTGTGATCTCTTACATTGCTTTCCTGGATTAACCTCTTCTTCTCCTCTTCATTTCTTCACACCGCTTCCTTTCATTCTCGACAAGTATACGCTCCCGTGCTTTTCAGCGTCCTCACCCTACACCCTCGCCTGAGTAGTCGCCTTCTAGCTATGCTTAATATTCTCTGAGTTTGTTTATGTTATTTCTCTTGACTTCAGGGGTCGAGATGTCGATGTACGTATCTGGTAGCAGTGCGTACCTTCCCGGGACAGCACTGGACAGTCATGTTTGTCATGTCCTGTCCGCACCCCGTCGAGTGGCTCACGAGCATACATACAAAAGGCTACGTATGTGTTTATGCCTTGGTTCGATAGGCATACATTCAGACTCCTAATTGGGCGATGTCCACCAGGTGTTATTCTATGCAATATGAGGAGACTTACTTCATTCTATAGATCACCGTCACTTCTGTGAATTGTGGATTGATTTCATACTTGTTCTAAAACATATGTGCCGAATATATAAAATAATGAATCCACTGGTGTTACATCGATTTATAGTTATATAAGTTAGTGCATCATAATCCGAGCATAGCCCAGTGCTTCCCATAAATAGCATACCATTCTATTGCACTTTTCATACTCCAAAACTCGACACCATCCTCATACATACACATTGTATTCACGACCTCATGCATAAAGAGTTTAACAACATACTGCCACACCATTTACAAAGTGTAAGCAGTCACTATTACATGCAAACCACATAAGAAGCACGAATGACTACGATTATATACACACAGTATTAAAGCAAGTCTAGTTTGAACTTGATATGCGTTCCTTACAAATCCAAGACCACATCACCATTCTCGTGGATGTGTGCTAACATATGCTTAGGTGCAACAGTGTTCAGTATGATGTGAAATTAATGAGTGAGAACACAGACTCATGTTAGCGAATTTCAGAGCAGACTTGGTCATCATATACAGAGAGCGAGCACCAAGCTCACAAATACAACGAAGCACAGAGAGATGTGACAAGATCCACGTTTCGCCTGAGCCCGGGCGCAGATTAGAGTGTGATCTGAACCCAACAGCTGTTCAGTTAGACAGGCATATCT